AGGTTAACATGGGGAATCACAGAGCCACTGGGGCGGAGCCCGAAAGGATTTTTGAGATAAGAATATGCCTATATGTTAATCGGGAATGTAAGCTATCATCATGCCAAATTTCAGCCCAATCCGTCCTGTGGTTTTATGATTATATGGTAAGAGAGTGAACATTATGATGAGTGTAACAAGTAATTCTGGTAAGACTACGAAAACATGCTTTTTACAGGGGGTTGTATAGCGTAATATATGATTTCTTTGCCATTTCAGATTCTGAAACCTTCAAAATTCGATGGGCTTAGTGCACATGGTAAAAATAGCTTATATATCAAAACAAGGAGTTTATGGCATCTTTTATTCCCCTATGAAGAGTCACAGAGGCTATAGGTAAAAATTATATCCCATGACATTTTAACCCATAAATTTTATTCAGCATGAAAAGAAAAGTGAAAGCATCCTGGTCAGATCATGATAACAGGCTTTCAGAGAGCTGTGGTGCAAACCTGAGTGTTTTTGTATTTGTTAACTTACTCTGAAAACCTCCTAACTACCTACACATACAAACAGAAACTTTTTAATAGAGTGTAGAAAAAAATACTATTTTACATAATTTATTGTTTGAATAAGGGTTATATCTCTATAACCCTTATTCAAACAATAAATTATGTAAAATATGTAAAATTGCCAATCCAATACACATTCATATTATGTAAATGTACCATTTACCAAAGTCTTTATGCGACTATGTATAAGGAGGAGTTGACAAGGGATCTTGATAATTCTATTAATTTGGTTTAATACAATAAACATTCCTTTAACATTTTGAGTTTTACGGTTTTACTAACTGTCTTGATTAGATCATGTGAACTGGCTTTCATGTGGTTTTATGGGGTGAATATGGAGTTTTTTTGCCTATTTATCAAGAAATTAAAATATTTTCGGTTCTACATTTTCTTTAATGACATCAAAAAAAGAGTTATCAAGATACCTTCTCTTAAGTTTGCTGACAATATAAAACTTTTTTGGAAAGTTGCTTCCCTCTATGACTATGAGTCTTTGCTGAAGGCTCTTAATAATGTCTCAGCTAAGACTATGGTGAATCCCACGAAAAGTAAGTTGAAAAAATTTAGCATTTAGCAAAATTCTCCGGATATTGGACTCTTCATAAGAGTTTGAGCCAGACATTCACCGCATCTGCACCAAGACCTCTGGAATTCTCAAAATGATCTCATGCTCTGCAAGACACTGTTTAAGCATCATTGTGGAAACATGCCTGCTATATCCAGTAATTCCTCTGTTCACCAACAACTAGAGTACTACCCAAATGGTACTACCGTGTATTCTGGTCGCCTTACCGCAGCCTTATTCCACTTGTTCACTATCTTTGTTTCGTCTCAATATGGGAAGAATGAGCGTACGCCTAGTATTAGTAAGATGTATATATGTGTCCGTTAGCGTGATAACTTGAGCAAAAATCATCCGATTTTGATGAAATTTGGTACAAACGTGTAAACCTACGTTTATTCGAACGAGTTCGCGAACCAGCATGATCAGACTATGGGAACAGGGGTTTATGGGGGGTTTTATGCGGTAAAAATTAGTTTTTCACATTTTTGACCCTAAAAACTTAAAATATAGCAATTTCTTTTCAAACCATTTTGTAGAGCTTAAAAAAGCAAATAATTTAGTATATTGAAGCGTTATTATGCGCCTAATGGTTACGGAGAAAATTCCAAAAACCTGTAAATTTAAAATTCCCATGTTATTCTTATGGAGAATAAGTAAAAACTGTTGTAGTTTGCTTGTTTATGAACATATTTTGATCAAATTTGGAAATGCATTCATTCCATACTACCAAAGGTAGTACAGAAACTACCTAACATTTTACAACTAACATTTTACAAAAAAACACCGTTTTACCCTCCCTGTTGCAGCAAACCTAAGTACTCGTTAAACTAATGTTATTTAAATAGGGAATAAATGTGATATTTTTAAGGAGACATTTTAGTGTAAATCCAATCAGGTAAATGGAAATTCGCTTAGTCAGCAGGTTTGCTGCGGCGGGGGTATTGGGTGCGCTTTACCCTTGACGCGCAACCGAATGCAAGGGTTTGCAAAATTTCTGTTTTCACCTGCTACATTGAAGGTAGAATCAAAGCTAAGGTCTCATATTAAAGAGGATAAAATTTTCTATAGTTCTTTGTTTCTATATTTCAATTATTTTAAATACACACCTTATAAACTTGAGTTGTAGTACAATAAAAAAGGGTCTTTTTAACTAGCCTTAACTTATAAAAAAACGTTTTTTGAACATTTAAAAAACGCAGAACTATAGATTGGTCTTTGTAATACTATAAGCCGTTTGAGTGCGTAGCTATCATTATTTGTTAGTTCTAAAACAGTAATCTTGGAAACGTCTGCAAGCGCTTCTCGCAGCGCTACTGAAGCCCGAGCTGAGATTTCCGAGCTGAGGTAAAGCGCACCCTTATGTTGTATTGTAAGATTGTAGTAGGTCACAAGGCTGAAAAATACAGCTTCCGCTCTACAGCCCTTGAAAGTGCCCACGTTATGATCAATACCTTTTTTGTAGCTGCAGTTAATAAAAACACCTGATACAGGTTTTTTTTATAGTTAATGACGGGGAGGTTCCCAAGGTTTTTATGTTGAAGACAAGGAAATATGTAAAGGTCTAGATTTATATAAGAGATGGTTCTTGGTGTTTTAAGATAATGGCAGGAGCTATTTAATGGTTTAGAATTACATAAGAGGAGGTACCCGATGGTTCTTAGTTAATGACAAGAAAGTATTTGATAGTTTATCGTTACTAAGGACGTGGCCCCTTAAGGTTTTTTTTGGGAGCGTTTCATAAAGTCCAAATTTCACAAAGTCCAACGGTTAAAATATTAAATAAACAGAGCGTTTGACAAGGTCCAAATTTCATTAAGTCCAAAACTATAACATTCAAATAATCACTGTTTCATAATGTCCAAATTTCACAAATTCCAACGTTAAAATATCAAATAAACAGAGCGTTTCACAAGGTCCAGCGGTACAGTCTGGGCCAGAAGTCTCTACAGGGTTGCCACGGTCAGATAGCAGGCACCGTCCGCCGGCGCTCAACTACTGATTACTGATTACTCCCTGTTGCAGCAAACCTAAGTACGGTACTTTTGTTAAACTAATGCTATTTAAATGGGGAATAAATGTGATAATTTTAAGGAGATATTCTAGTGAAAATTAAATAAGGGAAATGGAAAATCGATTAGTCTGCAGGTTTGCTGCGGAGGGGGTGAATACCACTACTTTACTCTCTTTACAACGTATCTACGGACCCACAATGATGTTTTGTGACGCGTGGCAACAACACTAGGTCGTGTAGTGCCTACATACCGAACCATGGCAACCTCTGCAGCGACTTCTGGCCGAGACTGTACCGTTGGACCTTGTGAAATTTGGACCTTGTGAAATTTGGACCTTGTGAAACGCTATGTTTATTTTATATTTTAACATTAGACTTTGTGAAATTTGGACATTGTGAAACGGTGATTATTTGAATGTGGGAGCGTTTCATAAAGTCCAAATTTCACAAAGTCCAACGGTTAAAATATTAAATAAACAGAGCGTTTCACAAGGTCCAAATTTCATAAAGTCCAAAACTTTAACATTCAAATAATCACCGTTTCACAATGTCCAAATTTCACAAAGTCCAATGTTAAAAAATCAAATAAACAGAGCGTTTCACAAGGTCCGAATTACATAAAGTGCAAAACTATAACATTCAAATAACCACTGTTTCATAATGTCCAAATTTCACAAAGTCCAACGTTAAAATATCAAATAAACAGAGAGTTTCACAAGGTCCAACGGTACAGTCTGGGCCAGAAGTCTCTACAGACCTTGTGAAACGCTATGTTTATTTGATATTTTAACATTGGACTTTGTGAAATTTGGACATTGTGAAACGGCGATTGTTTGAATGTCATAGTTTTGGACCTTATGAAATTTGGACCTTGTGAAACGCTCTGTTCATTTAATATTTTAACGTTGGACTTAGTGAAATTTGGACCTTGTGAAACGCTCTGTTTATTAATAATTTAACCGTTGGACCTTGTGAAATTTGGACCTTGTGAAAAGCTATGTTTATTAATATTTTAACGATTGGACTTTGTGAAATTTGGACCTTATGAACCTCGCCCTTGAATGTCATAGTTTTGGACCTTATGAAATTTGGGCCTTGTGAAACGCTATGTTCATTTGATATTTTAACGTTGGACTTTGTGAAATTTGGACCTTGTGAAACGCTCTGTTTATTAATATTTTAACCGTTGGACCTTGTGAAATTTGGACCTTGCGAAACGCTCTGTTTATTAATATTCTAACCATTGGACTTTGTGAAATTTGGACCTTATGAACCTCACCCTTTTTTTATTGATTACAAGAGCTATTTTATTTTTTATAGCCATCAGTGAGGAGGTTTCTGAAAAGTTAATAGGAGGGATTTAATGGTTTATAGTTATTGAAGAGAAGGTTTGAAGGGTTTTAAATTGATAACAAGGAGATATTTGTTGGTTTATAATTTATGACAAGAAGGTTCCTGAAGGTTTTAACTTGATGGCAAGGAGGGATTTGTTGGTTTATCGTTAATGATGATGATGAAGTTTCTGGATGTTTTTAAGGTTGATGACGAGAGGTTTGTTAATGGTTTTACGTTAATGATGAGTAAAGGCTAGTAGTTAATGTCGAAGAGGTTCCTGATGGTGTTAAGACTATTACGAGAAGGCTCTTAACGATTGTAATTTATGACATGTTAGTTCTTGTCGGTTTATATTTTGATGACTAATAGATTCTCGTTGGTTTTTCCTTGATGATAAGAGGGTAAGAAGGGTCTTTCAGAAATCAGGAAGTTCGTAACGGTGTACAGTTGGTGGTTCGGGGAGGCGCCTGGGAGATGTGGGCGGGCAAGCAAGGCTATAAAGCACCGCGACACCACGGGCAGTTTCTTGTTACATCCACGCGCCGTCCGCCGGTAAGTCTATCCAAATACGATCCGCAATATGGCTTAATTGTTGAAAAGTCAATTATTTACATTATGCACTTAGCAACCTTACCTTTAAAATTTAATAAGTTATGTTTCCGAAAGCATTCGTTTTGATGTCCCCCGAGATGAGAAATACACCATCCTTCAAATGCATATATATATATACATAATTGAAAACTAAGTACACTTTTTAGATTCATTTGTTTAGACAACTAGTTTCTCTTTCTATCCTAACAAATACAAGATATTTATGAATATATATAAATAACTACATGTTGGAAGAAAGTAAAAATTGCGAATTTAAAATTCCCAGTAATTCTTATGGAGAATAAGTAAACTGTTGCAGTTTACTTGTTTATGTATATAGTACCGGGGGACCGAGGCTTGCTCGGTTGTAGTTAATTGGGTTAAATAGTTAAAATAAAACAATATTTTAAACAAACATTTTATATTTTACGAAAAAGAATTGTATTACAAACCATAGACAGACATTTGATAGCTGAAATAATAACAACTCTGAAATGTAAAAGCATGCAATTTAACAAAAATACGATTCATTTTTATCTTGCTTGAGTTTTAAATGCTACTCGCACAGAATGTTTCTCTCCTCTAGTCATTGAAACCCGTTGTTCCACATTTACTCTCACTAAATACAGCAGATATAAATATGATACAAAAGAAATTGTATTCGTTTCAAAATGCCTCGTGACAAAGATTTTTCTTTTTCGATACTGTTTCTAAAGAAATTGAGATTCTGTTGTTTTTTTTATTGGGAATTAGCATACGGTAATAGTTTTATGCCAATTAAAACCCCCAGATGTAATTAGTTTACTTGGAATGCCTCATTACTTCAGGGATTATGTTTTGGTGGGAGAGGGCTAAGTGAAATAATCAGTATTTGATCAGAATTATTTTCCCCTATATCGAGTAATCTTCAGTGTAATCATAATCTTTGCTCAATAGTTACAAGCGACGTTTTTCCTTTTTTACCGAATTTTGTAATTTGTTAGTATAGGTACTGTGGATGGCTTGTCATAAACACGTGTGAGTAGTGACAATTCTTTTGGTTACTTTTTCCTTGTTATTTTGTTCAATAAACATAGTTACTTGGCAACCCATAAGGTCAATATTAAATTTTAAATTAGCTATGTAGTGAATTACGAATTTTCCTGAGGTAGTGGCTGTCACCAATCACGGTTTTAGGGCTATAAGTACCTAATTCCAAAATTTGGTCAAAATCCTTCCCCTGGTTTTCAAGATGTTCAACAGTATTGCAGAAAGACAGACAACAGACATAGCTCGTTTTAGAGAATAGGTTTTTGATCATATTTGAATAATTGGTTTATTTCATGGTAAGCTATTAATGTTTTACTAGAGAACATACCTTATTAACTTTCCTGTGGCAGCAAACCTAAGTACTCGTTTAATCTAATGGTATTGAATAAGAAATAAATTTGTATTTTAAATTAAATATTTAGGTGGGAATCCAATGAGGATGGAAATTTACTTAGTCTGCAGGCTTGCTGCGGTGGTGGTATTTAAAAACTGGTGACTCATCAGTAAAAAATAACAGAAAAGTAAAAACTGTATATACAGTTAAGCGGCACTAAAACAACATTCTCTTTGGGTCCTTAACACATGCTTTATTCCAGGTGATGAATTTCTGAGATTACGCCCGTGTAAGAGATGAATGAATATCCCGAAAGCAGGCCTAAATAATGTACAAACATATTTAACTAATACGGGTATTTTAATGGATTTTACCTTTCGTGGGATGGTATGTTTTTGCAAATATATAGGTTTTTTATTTCTTTTGTCAAAATAATATTTCTTTATTACTTTAGCAATTCAATTAAATTGGTTTTCTTAAATGTAACTAATTTAAAAACAAAAAAGTGCAACGTAGAGGAGACTGGCATTTTTCATTTGAAGACGAAACAAAACAATGGTGATGTGATTTTGACAAATAAAACTCGATACGATATTTGTAAAAAAGGAAAATCACTCTTCTCTACGTTTGCAAGTTTGGTTGCAATTCTTTACTACTTAGCATGTGTTTGGACTAGACCTTAAAGTTAGATGTCAACAAAGAACGGAATGTATGTGTGCAAATTCAAGAGATTTAATGTTTATACGTTTTGCTGATTTGTAATCATAGATTACTACCAGAAATTGTAATAGTTTTTACTCAGATACAACTGCTACTTATTATCTTCTATAGTATGATTTTTGACTGGCTAAATATTTATCTATTTCTATTTTAAGTTAAACTTCTAGGTACTCGTTAAACCTAATGTTATTAAAATATATTTAATTTAATTGAAAATCAATTAAGACAAATGGAAATTCGCTTAGTCGGCAGGTTTGCTGCGGCGGGGGTATTTTAAGTTAAACTTGCACTGTTTTATCTTAATCTATTTTACAATTTATTCAATTCCAGAACATTAAGTAAAATAGGGAATAAAAATTGGCTGGCTGCAGCCACCTGTCCATCAATTTCTACAGGGTGGTTGACGTAAGGCGTCTCAAATTGATTTCAGACAATTTAGCAACAATTGGACGGCTGATTAAAAAAATCAGGTGATATCTTAGAAAGCGCCTGATTTCTTCTCCTAGGTACATTAAATATCAGCTGATTTTTTTCTCTTAGTCATCTAAGATATCACATGATATGTTCAAATCAGCTGTCCGATTGTTGCCAAATAGAGCGCTATCATCGTGACCTGTGTTAAGAATTGAATTAATATTCGTTTTATATGGGGAAAGCATGTTATTTGTTGATAACTCAAAAAATAAAAGAGATTTGGGTATGGTTTATGTTCTTAAGGTTTTTGGAATAGAAGACCTATAAAATGATGTGCTGTTTGACATATGGTGCTATTTGATTTGTTTTTAGTTTTAGCTATGTAAATATTAGAAAAATCAAATTTGTTTGAATTTTTTTGTTTTAAAGAAATATCATAATATCGGATACCAGAATAAAGATTAGCTCATAAGGATTGTGATATTTGAATAAGGGTATTCTGCAATTTCAAGAAAAATACAGGCTATTCTGTAAAAATCTAGCTTTTTTTTAAAAAAAAGTGGCCACCATTTTGAAACTGCTAAAGATAATTATGTTCTATTTTAATCAAAAATTGTCTTTTTAATAGGGTTTTAAAATTATGTATAAAAATGATATATGTTTGTATTTGATACATCCGAGATTTGAAATTGTAACCCTCTGGTTCGATTTAGTGGGAAATAATTTTATTTCATCATTTTAGGACCAACGGTTGATCTGAAATCAATTTGTGTGTTTTGATACACAGTTGTTTAAATTCAACCTAAGACATCTAAAAGTAGGTGTGAGCAGTTTACAGTTTGAGTTTCTAAATTGTAACAGTTTTCTGTTTTATTAATCGACGGTAAATGCTTTGAACTAAAGAACTGGTAAAGTCATGGATACCTGAGTTCAAATTGTAACCAGTTTTAATATGCATATTGGCTTATTATAATTGAGGCATCGACAGATTGCACAGAAAATTACTGATTTATGTCAAATAAATAAGCCTACTTTGTAACCGAGCCAACAGATAGGCCGACTTACTTAGTCAAACGGGGTGAAGCCCGTGGGTAACAGCTTGTAAACATTAACGTTAAAATGTAAAGGTTTAAAGTTTTGAATGGTAAAATACGATTTTTGTGTTGATTGTTTTGTTTTTACACAGACATATTATTTTCACTAAAAAACGCACCCTTGACAACACCACAAGCAACTGAATGTATGAAGAACGGGTTCTCACAAGACCTAAAGTTGCAATTAATTATTCGTTTTTTTCATTGGTATTTTGTTATTCCCATTCACATGGATTTTTGTGTTACGCAACAGAGTGTATCATGCAATTTCATTAATCGCTTCACAATCCTCATCGCCTTGATGTGTAGGTAACATAAGTTATACTAGTTGATACTAATGTTTTAATTTAGAAAAGTGGAATGCCAACAGGTGCTACATTAACTAGTTTAAAAATAGACTGCTCAATATTAAGTATTAATGTTGAATACAAAGACAAATTATCTGATTTCTGTTTCCCAAGTACAGAAATAAGGTCAGTAAAACTTGAGAATATTTGTTAGGTCAATGTATTATGAGTTCTGTTACTAAGTAATACCATAATACCAACTGTATCTTTACAAAGATGCAAATTGAATCTAAATAAATCTTAGTTATGTTATGCAATAGAATATTGTGACACTCATTCTGCTAGTATGAGCAAACAAAGGATGTACTGAAATGTTCATATTATCATATTTGATGCTGTATAAGTGCACTAACCGTCTACCTTTACTATATAATAATTCGTTTGGAGGCACCTATACGGAATAATTACCAATATGGTAATTGATCTAATGTCACCAGGAACACTAACACTCGTGCTAATTAACTATCTATATATTTAATACGTGACATGAAACATTGTGAACAATAAGGCTTTTTGTTTTAAGATTTAACCGCACATATTATATACCAAAATGTTCGTCTAGGTGTGTAGATGTGTGCAAACTGGCTTTAGATTTTGGAAATATATTTTTAAGGGCGTGGGCTGCCCTCAAAATTCCTTCCATAAGATAACATTGTGATTGATTTGAATGTTATTATATTCTGAAACAGATGTCAATACATTAGTTTAAAAATAATAAATCCCAGCTGTTTTGTTTGGGTTTGAAATGTAAACAGTTTGCATGTTTTTAAAAATAATTAGAAACCCGGCATAGAAATGTTACCTATAGGACACGACAGGAGAAAAGTTTTATGTTGTTTCTTGTCTCAGGATTACTGTTTTTAGATTATAAAAGGTATAATGTTACCTGGATCTGCCAAAGTAATCCAAATTGCTGTCTGTCGAGACTACGCGTTTCGAAGCATTAATAGCTTCATCATCAGGTCTTCAAGAACACTTATCACTCATCAGAGGTCGTCAAATAAATATAATTTTTACAAACAT